CCCCTCGCAGGAAGACGGCCAGCCGAAAGGGAAACGAGGTGTCCTGTGTGCCACATGGAGCTTGGGGAGTTGAAATAATGAAAGCCATGAGGTTTCCTGGCTCCTCGCGGTGCTAGCGGTGGGTTTTGATTTGGGAAGGAGAGCGAGGAGAGGTGAGGGCCGTTCCCATCTGCCGGCATCCTGTGTCTGCCTGTGCGGCAGATGAAGTGCGGGGCCGGGAGGGCACGCGCGCGCCGGGATGTGCGCCAGGCGAGGGCGCGGAGCAGGTCTCCGCGTGTCGTGCGCAGTGGCCTTCCTACTCCTAAGTGACAGAGTAGGCGCGTGGTTTGAAAGAGGCAGAAATCCTCCCCGCTCTGAACGGAGAGCTTTCCTCCTGTGACAGCTGAGGTCTGAATCTATTAGAGCGGCACACGTTTCAGTTTTGAAACCTCATTTTTTATCCTTGAAATGTTAAGTCTTTGAACTGCTGTTATTTCACAGGGAGAAGGGAGAGACTCCATTATGCAATTCTATCGATCATATTGATTTACCTGATTTAAACCAACCTTCACTGAACAAAAATGTTTGTTGAAACTTAGAAAAGAACTGCTAATCTGGTGATGAAAATTGAGCCATCCACATGTGCTGCTGTTGCAAATCATCACCAAGCTTGAAGTCAAGAGGAATTCAATAACAGGAACGTTTTTCTAATTCACTGGAATACTAAGAGAATAAAGTTGGTATTATGGCCTATAGCAATTTGAAGATTTTAATTGAAATGACAGTAATACACTGGCAAACACGCAGAGCACTCGGCACCGTCAGTAATGACGAACGTGTGCCGTTATTGCCAGTGGTTCACTTATCACAGAGTGCACGTTAGAGCAGCGTTTTTCATGTTGTAGGTTATCAACCATTAGTAGCTCATGAAATCAAGAATGAGGGATTTCACTAGCATTTTTAAAATGAAATAGAAAAGAAATGTCCGAAGGATTGTAAGGATATTGTTTCACAAATCTTTTTCCCCTTTATATAACACATATATACATATATGCATGTGCTGGGTCACACTGTAAAATGTCTTTTTTATCGTGGATTACATTGAAAATAAGCTTGAAAGCTGTGGTTTTAGAAACATCCATGTTTCTCTAACAAGGTTCCCATCAGGGTTATGCTTTTTGGGTTTGGGGTGCAAGGTGCCCCCTGATATCCTACACTGAGCTACATTGAGTGTTGCAGACTTGACATTGAAAACATCACTCAACGAAAATGAGATTGGGAGGTGGGTATTCAGGTGTTAAAATCTCAGCAAAGTCGGTTCTTTCCTGGTTATGAAAGTAATACTGGATAAGAGATCACGTCAGGCGTCAGGCCCCAGGGAGAGGGCTGGCAGTAAACAATGACATAAAGCCCCAGGCCTCAGAGAAGACTGGTAGCAGGCTTCGGGAAGATCAGAATGGGAATTCTCAAGCAAAGACCAAAACAGAAGCCTGCTTATTCAGGCTGGGAATAGGGGTGGGAGAAGATTGGCCGGAGTCAGAAATTTTGGAACGGAGGCTCACTATCTTAACAGGGGAAAGTCTTGAGCTATGGGAAGCAACTTAGGAGCTCAGTGATTGATGCTGGGGGAGAGGAATGCTTCTGTTTCGACGCTTCCTCTCTGTCTAAGAAGAGCAAATACTACTTTCATTGTTCAAGGTTCAGGACACTGATTAAACCATATTTACTAGAGGGAAGGTCATTTTGCATTAAAAGGCAATGGCTCTGTGGCTCTTTCTCCTATTTCCTTATAAGAACCTCACTCAGGAATGTCAATCTTTTTTCCCCCCACTCCAGATATCAGGATTGGTTAGCTGAGCCAAGACCCAGCTTGGGTGTGACCTTCCTTCTCTTCACCTGACATGGCTTTGGGTTCCTGTACCATGTGGTCAGCTAGAGAGAAACAAGGTGTGGATTTGGACTTTGGGGGAGATGGACCTAGCTGCAGGCTCTATCCTAGCCTGACTAGAGCTCTGCACTCTTATTCTGTTTTCACCCCTCATAATCAAGTGGGCATTGCTAGGGGTGAAAACAGAATTTTCTGTTGTTTCAGAAATGTCTATTCCCTGCAGAAGTTGTTCTGGAATTTTAGGGTACAGCAGAATCACCTGGAGGGCTTGATAAAGCACAGATTGCTGGGCTCCACCCCCTCCTTTTGACTCACCAGGCCTGGGGTGGGGCCCAAGAATTTACATTTCTAAGTGATGCAGCTGCTTATAAAATCTTGTGAAGGGTCTGGAGTGGGAAGGTGACTGGCAGGGCAAGATGAAAGACTCCTGAGTTCTGAGCCTTAATACCATCTCAATCCCATGAGCCTTGCTCCCCCCTAAGCCAATCCGCTGACACTGAGGCTTCCAGGGTATCAGATCTGGAGGAAGGTCAATTATACCACCATCTCTCAGTGGTTAGTTTTGGGACTCTGCATCTTGAGAGAATACAGGTTCTGGGGCACTTTATTCTTGGACAGACCACTAAAGAGAGTGATTCTTGGTCAAGTTCCTGTTGAAGCGCCGTGCTTGTCATTGTCTACAGCACTTAGCATGTGTAGGACTCCCCACCGCCTGGCACTGCAGCACCAAGAAGTGTATAAACTATCATTCCTGGTCACTTTTGCAGCGGGAGTTTAGAATGAAGTTTAGGTCCTTGTACTAAAGTGTAGGCACATGGGATTTGAAAGGCAGAAAAGAGGATGTTCTCCTTTTTCAGCTGTGGAGGTACACAAGAGGGCTCTGAAAGGCATGAGTATGGCCGGTGGCCACATTGGTGTCCACTGACTAGTCACCAGCCTCGTGGGTGTAGGGGGCTCTGATGGCTGCCCCTGACTCCACTCCTCCAGCGCTTCCACTTGAAAGCGTGTGCTAAATCCCTCTGAGCTTGAAAAGTCTAGAGTGTTTTCTGTTAGCTGTATGGAACCCAGGCTGGCACAGGGAATGAGTGTGAGTGCTTCATGCCTGAGGTCTGGATTAGTGTAGGTACAGAGTCGTGCAAACCCTACAGGTGGTGAGATGACTGTCCTCGGCTGGGAGAGATTTGGGGTTGGTGAGCTCAAGCCAGGAGAGCTTGCCTACTACACACAAACCATAGGCTGAAGGATGAACATGCTGGATCACACCTCCTTCTACCTCTCACCACAAAGCCTCACTTCCACCCACTTCCCTTTTGGATTTTCGCAGCAAAGCAAGACAAAAGCAAGGTTTTGGAGAGTTCAAGCAAAAATTTTTGCTAAGGTTCCATGTTTGTTTGCTCATTTTGATACTCAGTTGTATATTGTCCTGTATTGTGCTCTAATTTCTGGACATTCACTCCTCAGTGAGGCTACAACCTACTTAAGGGAATATATTGAGTTGTCATTGTTCAGCCCAAGAGTAAACAAGTTACTTGGGTAAGTCTGCTTTGCTCAGTGCAAACCCAGAGCTGGATGGACAGTGCAGATCTATGCTATAGCTGCAGAAAATAGGGCTGCCTCTTCTGCCTGCCTAACCCCCCCGCATCCCTTTAATGCCCTAAACCTGCAAATATTATTCAGGAGCCCATCTTTTGGCTCATCAATTCTTCCTGAGCAGAGACAAGACTGAATATATGTCACTGGACTAATTTTTGTCCAGAAGGAATTGATGGCTCTAGTAACTATGTCCTTGTTCACAAACAAATGGTACCCCCCTCTGTAGGAGGAGCAGACATCCCACTCTGGGGCACTGCCCGGCCAATGAAGGGTGAGTGGAAATGACTGCCCTTGCTCTTCAGCCCTAACCACATGCTGCAGTGATGCCGGTGGAAGCTGCTCTCCAGCCTGGGCCCAGAGCAAAGGATGTGGAGCTCGTTCCAGGAATCTAGGATGGACATGTGGCTAAAACTTTTTAAAAAATATTAATTTTGTATTAGTTAATTTACTTCTGTGAAGTGGTTGAGATTCTAGAGGCCTAATAAATGACATTTCTCATCCTGGTAGCAGTTTGGTCCGAAAGGCAGACTGGACATGCTCAGTTTCTCCATCCAAACGCACCATTCAAACCGCTGCTCCTCCCTGGGCAAGGAGGGAAGGGGTGCAGATTACTCCAAAGGGGGTCCTGCCTCCGGAAAACTTTGGGCAAGGGAAAAACAGGGTTCTGAAGGGATTTTGTTACTGTTGAATCACTCTGTAGCTAAGAGAATTTGCCAGAAATAAAAACATTAGGAGAAGCCATAAAAACATTAATTTCTGTCTCATTTTTATTCTTGCATATTTAAAAGCCTAGGGGACACAATCAGGTATCACTTCACACCTGTCAGAATGGCTCCATCAACAAATCAACAAACGACTTGTGCTGGCGAGGGTGTGGAGAAGGGGAGCCCTAGTGTACTGCTGGTGGGAATGCAGACTGGGGCAGCCACTATGGAAAACAGTATGGAGTTTCCTCAAAAAGTTAAAAATGGAGCTGCCTTTTGACCCTGTGATTCCACTTCTAGGAATATGCCCTAAGAATCCTGAAACACTAATCAGAAAGAATATATGCACCCCGATGTTCATAGCAGCGCAGTTTACAATAGCTAAGATCTGGAAATAGCCCAAGTGCTCAACAGTAGATGAGTGGATAAAAAAGCTGTGGGACATTTACACCATCGAATACTACGCAGCTGTAAAGAAGAAGGACCACATACCCTTTGGGACAGCGTGGATGGACCTAGAGAATATTATGCTAAGAGAAATAAGCCAGGCAGCAAAAGACAAACATCACATGATCTCACTTATATGTGGAATCTAAAGACCTTAATAAACTGATGAACAGAATAGATTCAATGACATGGAAGCATGGATCAGACTGACGAATCTCAGAGAGACGGAGGAGGGTAGGTGGGTGGAGGGGGAGAGAGTAACCAAAGAATTCATATGCTTATATGCACAACCTAAGGACATGGACAATGGCATGGAGAGGGACTGGGGAGGGTGGTGGGAAGGGGTGGAATGGGTCATTGGGGAGAAAAAGAGACATCTGTAATATTTTAAACAAAAATAAACACACACACACACACGCAAAGCCTAGGGGAAACATTCAAGTAACAGATCAAGGCACTGAAATAAAAGTTTAAGCAATGGTAATCCTAATTATTATCATTAAGTAAAAGCAATTTTTTACCACATTGTTGTAAGAGGGTGGTGACTCCATAGTAAATGAGAACTGAGGCCTGAATATTAATAGGACTGACTTTCTGCCAACATGGCCCTTGCTCTGAGGGCCTGGCTTCTTGTTAAGTGATGGCCTGTGGCTCCCAGTGCAGGCTGGGCTCTGGCCTCTGGGCCTGAGGGAAATGGGGTTGCTTTGAAACCCAGTGTTCTTAATGAAGCAGTTCCTGACCCTGAAATGTGCGAGAGAATAACCTAGAAGTGCGATGAAAAACTGGTCTATTGAAAAGTTAGTGACACTTCCAGGGTTGATTTTAAAATAATAGATTTGTTTTATTTTGGTAAATGATTTAATAAAACATAACGTCAAAGAAATTATCCAGTGTGTTTCATGTCCTGCAGCCTGGAATATCTAAACTGTATGCTTATAAATGAACATCATTATTAGTGAAATTTTATTGCAAAATTTGGCCTGGAATATTTTGGGGGTGTCAGACTTTTAGGCGCTATCACAGAAATTGGCAAGATTCAAGGGATTGTTACTGATTTAATAACATTTTTCTTTATTGTCCCCATAATCACCTGCTTTATAAACTGTGGCTACAGCTGATGTTGCAACCGGTAATTTTCTTAGAACCCAAATGCATTTACATTTTTCCATCTTTTGATTTCCATCATTTCTGGAAGTTGTTAGTAGATGGAATAAAAAGAAAATACATTATAAACAATTCAAAACACCAAAAACAAAATTCCTTGGACCTTTTCCAGATACCACACATGCAAATAAATGTGGCTTTGCATTCCAAAGGCATTCAAGTGGGGATTGCATTTTCCTCATTAACCTCTTTTTTTTAATCCAAACAGTATTGTTTTTCAAGCCGTTTTATCAAAATCCAGTTTGACCTTTGAAATCCATTCACACCGACTCTAAGTGAAGAGCTACAATGTCGTCTTTTGCTCCGCAATCACTTGTGCAATCCTGGTTGAACTGTGCCAAAGTGGGAACACCTGCCTACCAGTTTAGGATGAAATCAGGAGACTGGTTGTATTGCACACAAAACCGAAACATTAGAGGTACCAAGTATGGTTTTTCCTGCACTACGAAAGAAAGGTGGAAAAAGCCATCCATGCAGTCCACCTGAGATCTGAACACGCTTGCTATCCTGTGGAAAACCATTTACAAAATGAATGTACTTATTTCTAATAGAAGGAACACCCAATCCGTTCTCAATCAGCCATAACCAATGATTCTTCCCCTAATATGTGGACCTGAATTTGAAGCAGTGGGACTCTTCTCTTTCCCTCAGGAGAATCAACAGAATTATTTAGAAAGACGGAATGATTTTGGTAGAAGCAGAAATGTAACTTGCATTTTTTGGTAACTTCTGTAAACACTTTCGCATGGACCTGCCATTTTTGCCCTGATACAGAACAAAAGTGTATGTTGTTTTCAGTGCTGATATTTGGCAGTGGATGGTGAAACATTTGTGTGTATTTAAGTATGTCCGTCTGAGTAAAATGAAAGAGACATTAAAATCACTCTCAGTCTGGAGTGAGAGTTAAGTCAACCAATTCTAGGAAACTCTGGATCGGCTGTCTTCACTGCGCTGTGAGCTTAGTTTTGTCAGTTTTCTTTTTCATCCCACCATCTTCTCGTGCATTGTTTTCAGGCTCCTGCAATCCCAGCTCAAGATGGCCTGAGTTAGAGTTGGAGAGAGAACCAGCACTAGTTTTCATAGTATCCACAGTTTCAAGACACACCCTATAATGTTATTTGACACCATTTTCTACATGTGCTTTCTTTAGAAAGTGGAAAAATACGTTATTGAGAGTTTGTCAGCTGAAACCATATTGCAAAACATTTGCAAAACTGAATTATTGACAAAAATGCATGTGATTCCAAAAGGGCTTGAGTGATTGAAAGCAGTTGCAGTATTTCAACATGAGAATATTGCTTGTCCTTTCTGTTGTCTGTTTTCGGATTCCTACGGAGCATACCTCTGGACTCCTACTGTCCCCAGATAGCAGTTTCTACGCAGCTAACTCAGACCAGATTAGAGCTAGAGTTTTAGAGCACTGTTATGACTTTGATTCCTTGAGAAAGCATTCAGGAACACGCATCCTCCGGTTCCCCCAGTCATCCCTAACTCATAGGAGGCTGAATTCCCCTGCGTGCCTGCAGCGTCTAACAGTGCCTACTAATTGCATAATCCCATCGTCTGTTCCCAGCATATGCTCCGATGCCAAGGTGCAGCGAGGCCCTCGGTAGGTCCTTTGAAGAGAGACGTGTCCAGTCCAAGTCACGTGGTCTCACTCTTTTTTTTTTCTTCTCAATTGTTTACTGGTTTGAGGAAGAGAGAAGAAACATCCATGTAAAAGCGTAATATCAATCAGCCTGCTTGGGAATGGAGCCCGCAACCCAGGCTTGTGCCCTGGCTAGGAACTGAACCAGGAGGCCTTCCATGCATGGGACGGCGCCCAACCAACTCAGCCACACTAGCCAGGGCTGCCCCTCACTCTTAAATGTCCTGGTTTTGGCTGACAATTAGCTTACCTCTGAGAATGGCACCGAAATCAGTTCTGCCGCTAATGAGAAACAAAACCATTTCTATTGTGAAGAGAAAACAATAGCTTCATGGAAAATTGTATTTGCATACTTGGTGATAATGATTACCACTTAGAATTTAAAATTTTCAAAAACCTACATGTGTGGTGTGTGCAATGTGTGGTGAGAGAGAGTTTTCAAAAAAATCTAATGCATTTGTCATCTCAATTGCCTTTTGAGTAACAGATTTCGTATCCTGAAAACTGGCCAAAGAAGGGGAAAAAAGTGTTTTTATTTTTTCATTTTAAATACACTTCCTTTGTCAAACAACTCTCTTTACTAATAAGAAAAACTATCAAGAACAATGTAATTCATCTTTATTTAGAATTTCAGAAAAGCAAATGCCCCAAACTGTCTTCTGAACTTTTCAGTGGACTTTTGGCTGTGCAGCTTCACCTTGTTTAGAGATGTTAGAGCTGTGCTGAGATTAATATAAACAATCAGAAAGTAATAGCATGGATCTGACTGTCATTATCCTGTTCAGACGTGCTAGAACTAGGCCGCCTGTGTAAAAACTTAATGGACTAGTGAAGCATTCAGAATCTTCATGAAGGGAACTTTATCCAGACACCTGCCAGATGTCTCATTTCTAACCTCAGAACATTGAGAAAGGCGTGATTTGCCTCAATTAGAGTTCTCAGCTCTGGCTGTACGTTAGAATAATCCCAGAATTAAAAAAAAAAATTTTGACAGGCAGGCTCCACTCAATCTAATTAAAGTAAAATCTCTCAGAGAGGGCCCCAGACATTTGTAAATGCCCCCAAGTGATTTGAATGTGCAGCCAGGTTGGGAATCACTGACGTGATAATCTCATCTCAGAGGGGAGAGGGCGTGGGGAAGGGGATTAACACTCCGCTTCTAATTCTGGCCGACTCTGATCAGAAGTGACGGGAACCCTGGGAGAGGGCCACCTGGCCGTCAGAAAATTCCAGGGGGATGCGGTCACTGCCAGACACACGCTTGCTTAGTTTGAGTTTTCAAATATCTCAGGAAATTATAAAAGCCTGACGACCTCCCAGCCTGAGAATGCACAAAGAACAGGGGAGGCTTCTCAAAGTAAAATTCCGATGCTGCTGTTGCACATGGTCCAAGGCAGGGGTGTTGGGGGGGGGGGGGAAATAAAAGAGAAAAGGNATGCACAAAGAACAGGGGAGGCTTCTCAAAGTAAAATTCCGATGCTGCTGTTGCACATGGTCCGAGGCAGGGGTGTTGGGGGGGGGGGAGAAATAAAAGAGAAAAGGGGAGCCCAAAAGATTTAGTGCCTTCACTCAGGAAGCTGTCTGCTGAGACCAGATTTAGTTTTCAATGGTGTATGCAAAATGTGAAAGATGATCTCTAAAAACTAGCATAGATACAAGGAAAAAACCTGTCAATAATACGCGAGGAAAGAGTCAGAAGGACTAAATGCAGAAGGATTTAGACGGAGAGGACTGTTTGAAACAAAAGCAAGTAGAAAAATGCACGCGGGGCTGTGCTGGCATTTTGTCAATGTTAGGTCCACGGGGAAGTGAGGTGGTCATACCCTAGGGCTCTATTTTACTCTTTAGATTGGAAAGCGTGGGGCAGAATTTGTTAAGGAGGAACTGAAGAGAAAGATCTCTTAGGAGCAAATGTTAGCTGTCTTAAGGAAGTCTAAACAACTTATAACAAACCAGAATATTAATAGAAGTTTCAGATGAAATTGCTTTAATCTTTAAAAAATATGGAGAAGGAAGGAAGTGCCTGAACACTGTTCACTTTTTTTTTTTCCAGAAAGTGGAAAAAGTCTTTGAACTACAGACTCAAAGGCCTGTTGATTCTTCTGTTTAAAAATTCTAGAATTTACTTTAAATGCAGTTTGAAGGGAAGATTTGCCAAGTTATATTATACCTATGACATAGCTTATGAAGAGAGTAGAGACAAGCCCTGGCCAGGTGGCTCAGTTGGTTGGAGCGTCATCCCATACGCTGTGAGCTTGTGGGTTCGATTCTGGGTCAGGGCACATACCTAGGCTGAGGGTTTGACCCCCAGTCGGGACGAGTTTGGGAGGCAACCAATGGATGTTTCTCTCTCACATAGATGTTTCTCTCTCTCTGTCTCTCCCTCTCTCCCTCCCTTCCTCTTCCTCTAAAGTCAATAAGCAAGGAAACAAAACTTTTAATAATCTAATTCAAATTCAGTAATTCATTATTTTTGAGAATTAGGTAAAAGCTAAATACCCTCTTAAAATATTTAGATATTACAGTATAACAAACCATCCCAACACTTAGTGGCTGAAAACAGCTACCATTAACTTGTTCACAATTCTTCAATTTGTGCTCGGCCCAGTTGGGTGGTTCTTCTGCTGGTTTCATCTGGGATCACGCAGGCAGCTTTAGTCATCTAATAGCTTAACTGAGGCTAGCTGGTCCAAGATAGCCTCAGTCGCATGTTTGGTGGTTGTTGCTGGCTGTCAGCTGAGCCACTTCTCTCCAGCAAGAGAGCCAGGGATAATTTACATGGTGGGAGCAGCATTGCAAGAGAATGAGAGCAGAGACTTCAAGGTCAACCTTTGGAAGTCATATAACATTGCTTCTCCTACATTCTACTGGTCAGAGCAAGTCACAAAACCAGTCCAGATCAAGGGGTAGGTAAATAGTTAATACCTTTAGAAGGGAGTTGCTACAACTTCCATATTTAATTTACACACTAGAAAAATGCTTCTTTACTAACACACATGAGGTACAGTCATGCACCAGATAATGACGTTTCAGTCAAGGATGGACCACATACGCAATGGCGCTCATATTATGGCGGAGCTGAAAAATTCCTATTGTCTAGTAACATCATAGCCATAGAGGTATCCCTGGGTTTCATGTCCACAGACCCAATCAACCACCAATCAAAACAGTCTTTCCCTGGGTTTTGGAATCTGCGGTTCTGAGGCCTGCTTCTACGCATTCTTCCATGCTGTGTTAAATAAGGAACCTAGCCATCTGTGGATTTTGGTATCTGGGAGGGGTCCTAGAACCAGTCCCCTGCAGATATCACACGATGACTAGAAAGTCAAAAGTTGTACATGGATTTTCAACTCTCCAGGGACTGAAGCCTCACATGGTTCAAGGACCAACTGTATTATGTCTTCAGTCTCTTTTAATCTATAATAGTACTTACACACACACATGCGGGCACACACATACACCCTTTTCTAGCTATTGACTTTTCAAAGAGGCCAGCCAGTTGCCTTATAGAATGCCCAAATTCTCCACTTTGGATCCTTTTTCTTTTTTTGTGGTGCTTTAACTTCTTCCTCCACCTTCTGTATATCTTTTGGACCTAAAGCCTTGACGAGATTAAAGTTACACATTTTGAAGAATATTCCGTAAGTGAGAGTATCTCCTTCACAGTGAGTGACATCAGCAGCCCAGTAGACCTGGTTGCCCACTATTGGTGACGCCGAGCTGGATCCCTGCATTAAGGTTATGGCAAGCTCAACTCTCTTCACTAATAAGATGCATCTTCCCTTTTTCAATTAGCAAGTCATCTGTGAGGCAATAATTTGGTGCCATGAAAATATCCAGTTCTCTAAAGTTAGTTTTAAAAAAAACAACCCATTGTGCTTTCGATTTTCATAAAAAACTGTACACATTTTTTCAAAGTTTTCATCAAGCTGTGTATATTCAGCCCAAAATTATGAAAACAAACCAACATCTGCATTAAGCCATTAGATAATCATTCATTCTCTGCTCATATCTTTGTCATTTGGGGTATACCACTCTGGTTTACAGTAGTCATGTATACCTGGGCTAGCAAATTGGGCATTGGTGGGTTCCCAGAGCTGTGTGTTATGGTTCACATATTCACTCATCTCATTTCATGACTATTACATGCAAGTTCAGAAATGGAGTAATGTAGAGTGCTGTGGAAGTGCATGTCATATTGTCATGAGTAATGAGATCCAGGCAGCATGCAGTGTACAAGAAGACAGGTATTACTGTAGGTGTAAGCTACTAGACTCTTACCATGAACTAATTATACCCCACATTGCAACTGAAATGTGGGTGCCTTGAAGTGACTTTTTTGTTACCCTTTTCAAGAAGGTCAAAAGACATGAGTGAAAACACACCAGTAACCAAACGTGGTATCAAGCCTAATTAGGAAGAGAAAATCATTTCTAAAATCGGTGTCTGTTCATTTTCTTTACTTCATTTGTTTTCGTTTCGCTCTCATCTGCGATTCATTTGCCTTTCATCATCTTCCACAATGGCTTCTGCGAGAATATCAGTCTTCAAATGTACAACATGGCTCGTACCCACTTCAAACATTGTTTAAAGTCTCATTTGTTATTTTGGACTGTGGTCTCACTTAAAAGCCAGTGTTACTGAGACTGTGGAGCACATACCTTTAATTCCCAGCGTGAGAGGGGAAAGGGAGCACAAGAGCCAGCAAGAAGGGAGAGCAAAAACTGTCAGATGCTCCCCAACAGACATGTGGGGGAAACAGGAACATTCAGAAGTCCTACAGGCAGCTGAAGTCTCTAGACACAGGAACACTGGAACCTGCCCAAACCTGGGCTCAGTAGAGTATAGAAATGTGATGAAGACCAGGACTGGTTATTTTTTTTCCAACAAGAGGTTAGTTACTTAAGGACCACATTCCCAGGATTACAAGGATTTGCCTGCAGAGCCCAGGGAACACTTATCTGCAGTAGAATTAGTGACATGAAGGGATGGGATTCTATGTGAGCCTATTACATGAAACTGTACTGGGAACTTGAAATTAACACTGGGAAAAATTATCTTAAGTTGATATCAGCAGATAAAAGCTTTATTAAGTATGAATTGTGTTTTTCTAATTAGCTTAAAATCTTAAGCTTTTGGAGGAGCCAAAAACAGTCACTAGGGATTAGAATCATTCCTTTAAAGAAAAACAAAAACAAGGCCATGTGCAGAACATCTCAGGCCAGGAGCTTACTCATATTCATTCAACTCACCTTCCTTTTTTCATGCCCAGACAGAAAATGGTCACCTGCCATTGAAAGCTGCCTCTGTGTGGGCCCTGCTGCTTCGGGAGGGGAGAATATCCCAGCTCCCCACCGGCAGACGTTCAACTGATGCACCTCCACCCCGATACCTTGTGGAAACAGTTTGTGAATGAAGAAGAAAAGCATTTACCTAAGAGGGAAGAGAAGATGGGAAGAAAACGTTGCTGTGGATATTTTTTCCCTTTTACTAAAAAGGCTATAAGCCGCATCTTTATAAAGAACTCCACTTTTGGGTCACACGTTTCAGGCAATGATTTTACTCAGCAGCTCATTGCAGCAGGGTCTCCTCCCTCTGGAAGCTGCAAGTATGGGACATAAGATAAGAGAGTAACTGGCATTAAACTACAATTTTCATTCGTCTTGCTGAAGAGAGTCTGGCTGGAGGAGCCATAGGAGGCCGTGTCCCAAGCCTTTTATCTGCTTGTTCATTTGAACAAACTTACTTACATGCACTGCTGTCGTTTTCAACTTCAAATTCTCAGAGATTGGACAACCAATTTCTTCCTTCTGTTCCAGGTAAAATAAAGAATCAATAGATAAGGCATCAGCCAGTGATGCTAGTTGAAGGCAATAATGATGGAAATTCTCACACAGGTGGAAAATTAGCATGGGAGATTATCATGAAGGCCTCAAGTGACTGGATAGCCTTCAGAGCAGTATGAGGAATGTCTGGCCCACGGGCCATATATGCCCCGGGAAACCATTTGGTCTGACCCTGCCAAGGGAACTGCTGGTAGGACTTAAAATTCAATAAATCTAGGAGGTTTTTTTCATAGCTAATTTTTAAGTTGATAATTTTGTATGGCCTGTGAAAGATATTATAAATATCCAAATGGCCCTTGGCAGAAAAAGGTTCCCCACCCCTGCTTTAGAGAGTTGGAAGGCATGTAAGTACGGCTTTTGATATCAGGCTGGAGATTCAGGATGCAAGAAATGTAACTTTATGATGCAATCACAACTATTTCAAGTCTTCATTCAGTCAATTCAGGAACTTTGTCCCTGGTGTCACCTCACCCAATTCACTGGACAGGCTTAGCTGGTTCTCCATGTTGTCTGTCCACTCAGGGGACACTGAGTTGTCCATCAACCTGGGTTGTCCTTAGTTATAAATTCAATCCTTGTGAGGTCCCTTTAGATCCATCTGCCTGCCCTTCAGTTCCCTTGACTCTTCCTGCCACTTCCCCACCACTCTTAGGGACACAGCAATTACCATGCTGCTCTTAGCCCCACTGGGGCCTGGGGATTTTGTTAGGTTAAGACCTAGATGGCTGAGACATAGCAAGTAACCACAGCTTTTCCTCTCCTAAATTCTTGCCATTCTCTGGCATTACCTGGGAAGTGAGGTCCAGGTTGCCCCTGTCTTAGATCTATGAAGGGTTTCACCCATTCTACAAGAACAGGATTCATGACCCTTTCTCAGGAACCCATCATTGCCTGCTGCATTCTTAGCTCGCTGTTTCTTCTCCCAGACTGAGGAATCCTTTTTTGGTACTAAGGACAGAAAAGACTTGCTTTCAACATCAGGCTACCTTCACCACTGAGTGAGTTTTGGTTTTTTAATTGCCAGAAAATACACATCACATAAAATTTACCATTTTAACCATTTTTAAATATCATTTTCATTGGAATTAAATATATTCTCGCTGTTGTCTGACCATCACCACCATCTACCTCCAGAACTTTTTTATCTTCTAGAACTGAGATTCTGTACTCATTAAACACTAACCCTTCATTCCTCCCTTCCCCCAGCCCCTGGCAACCAACACTCTACTTTCTGTCTCTATGGGTTTGACTACTCTAGGTACCTCATATAAGGGAAACTGTACAACATTTGTCCTTTTGTGACTGGTTTCTTTCACTTTGCATAATGTTTTCAAGGTTCATCCATGTTGTAGCATATGTCAGAATTTTCTTCCTCTTTAAGACTTTATTTCATTCTAACTTGTATGCTTTGATCTTTGGGGGGGAAATGTGTTTAAAGTTTATTGCTCACAGAGGATTTTTTTAAATGTCTTTACTAGAAACCATTGATATTCCATAAGATTCGCTCATTTTAGTCACCTTTTGATACTAAACTATGAACATATTTAACTTTTAAAAACTATTAAATAAAACTTGCATTCCATTGCTATTAGTTTGGATGATTGTATTTCTAAAAATTCCCACAATGCTAAAATATAACAAATCAAGGCATTGAATTCTGATATTTCATTGAACTGTATTAAAAAAAATAAAGAAAAGGGTCATATGGCTTCTTTAATGTCATATAGAACAAAAACTCACCTTAATAAGCAAATGTTCATATGAAGTATATATAACACAGAAAATGGTAAATAACCCAATTTGGGTCTTCATTATTTAATCTGCTTTGGTGGGAGACTGATTTTTGTGTTGCTGTTGTTTGTTTTTTCACAGTGTTTATGACCACTTGCTCAGCAACCAAAGACTATTTGACAAATCAGTGTGACTGAAACACCCAGTTGCCTGTGAGCTGATCTCATTTAGACTGCAAACTCCAGGAGGGAGGAAGTAGGACTCACTCATCTTGTATCTCCCTTATGACTTGCATGGTCGATTGCACAGAAGAAATGCCCAGTATATTTTCCCAATGAAAAGTCTTATTACCATCAGTTCTTATAATAACTTATGCCAACTGGTAAACATATATGGAGGTGCTTACTAATGATAAGGGAAAAACAGAGGGAAAAAAAATAAAAAGGAGGCAGACACTACTATGTTCCCAGCTCTGAGTTCTCTACCTGGGCTGGGTCAGATGCTCAGACCCCCAACAGAAAATAAGACCCCCTGGGAAAGCTATCATTTATTTACTGGAAAGATGTGTGCACGTGCTCACGTGTGTGTGTTGCGTTCACACACACACACACACACACACACACACACACACACACACACACAGAGCCTCGGTATGTGACAGTATGCGCCCTTAAAAGTGGTCTCTGTCTTCGTGTAGACAATAAAGCCAGCAGCAATAAGCCTCTCTGAAGGAGCTTGAGAAAAATTCTTCCCCTCGGTGTATCTGACTCCTCTGAAAGGGAGAATCCGTGAATGGCAGGATGGTTTCTTTTTCCTCCCTGTGGGTTGTTTTGTTGGTGTCTTATACTAACAGAAGAATTTAACAGATAAAAATGTATTATTTTCTCTTATTTATGCAACATTTCCCTTCCCTTTATAAGAAAACTGATGCTCACATATAAAAATATCTAATTCCAGTAGGGAGTTTATAGAATTTGCTTCTCACCAAAGCAAGATCCTAACTACATGAAACCTGAGTACTTGCCAATTTAATGGGCTCCTAATAATTTTTAAATAGGATGTATTATTTTAATGCTTTACACAGTTGGAAGGTTATGAAGGGATAAATTGGCAGGGTCTCTATTTTCTTTTGAAAAAACAAATTCATAAAAATGAAGTACTTGACATTTATTTTATATTATTATTTTGGCAACTTTATTTTTATGACAAAGTTCTGAGTCGATTATATTATCTCAATTCTAAAAGGATTCAATTGATTACAGAAAAACATATTTAAAAATTTGCTTCGCCATTTTTTCCCTCTGGATAATTCTGGAGGTTTTTTTATACTTACTATTTAAAGGACCTAATTTATTTTTTATGGCCCATCACCAATATCCAAGATAGTATCTAATTTCTTCATTCTGAACTTTGCCTTGAGTGACTTCCAAACTAAATGAAATAAAAATACCCCGAGCAGACTTTGTTTATACACGGTGGCAAAATTAACTTTAAGTTATATGGGTCAACTGCACTGGGGAGGCTTCTGAGTCTCTACTATGTTCGTCCCCATGCAGAAAGCTTCTTCTCCTTTCATTTTAGATAAAACAAGATTTTTTTGAACACCTACTCAGCAACACATGGTGCGGAATGGTACATCAGACTCAGTCCCCAATTTGATGGCCCTTGTTGGAATAAGTTCTTGAACTGTGAAATCACTGTGTCTTTAGAGGCAAAAAGTTTGTTTGTAGATACGCTTTTATTGATTTTAGAGAGAGAGGGATGGAGAGAGAGAGAAAAATTGATTGGCTGCCTCCTGCATGCCCCCTACTGGGGATGGAGCCAGAAACCCAGGCATGTGCCCTGCCTCGACCTTCTGAGCATGGGATGACCTTCAACCAATTGAGCCACACTGGCCAGGGCCAAAAAGTTTGTCTTTATCAGTGGGTTTCAAAATAGGGATGAGTTGACTTACAAGCCATACGTTGTGTCACCAGTCTGCGTGACTACCCATTGTGAAGATTTCTTTTTGAAACCTGTCAATGCAAACAGGGATGATCAATGAAATACTTCCAAGGCCATTCTGAACCACAGTTTCCTCCTTTTGGATTGTGAAAAAATGTCAGTGGTAGAGAGACTAGGTGGCAACAGGCAGTTGTCCGTGTCTGGTTGTGGCCATCTCTGACAACAGCCCTCTGAACAGGGCCACAGGGGACTTCTTCTTTATGTCCCTTACACATCAAGTGCTGTCTAATATCCAGACATGTGCTTGGCACATAGGAAACATGTAGCAAGGGTTTTCATCAGTAAATGGATAAGTGGATGGATTTTGTGGGCCTATTTAAGCTAACATATGTAGGGAGCCACTGTTTGACTTAACATTTAGACATCATTCTACCAGTATTTTTTAATAATTCCGTTTTTGCAAAGCCTCATTTCCATGTGGGTCTAATTACTTGGGGAGAAATGTCCTCACTCTCCACCCTCTTGTAATTAAAAAGCGTGCTCTTTTTAGATTATTTCAAAATGCCCTTCTCCACCAATTCCCAAAGCTTTCTGGCTTGACTGACTCAGCGTGACTCAGCATTGTTGGAATATTAGAACACATGTAGCCTTTAGGATTCAGGTGCAATCGAATCGGGAGCAGATTCAGTCAGCTTAGAGAAAGGAAACCTCAGAGGACCAGTTTAACAGGAGTGTGTTAATGCTAATAGTGAGCTCCAGCTGGGAGGGGTTATAAGAACTAGAGGCGAATGTCCAAGTTATATTTCCTAAATTGCTGGCACAGTTCTCCCAAAACAATCTAAAGCAAAGAATCTGGTCTTGGGTGACTAGCAATTTTTGTCAACAGATTTAGTCTTTTCTGTTCTCCTCCCATTCACATGGACCCAAAAGGCCACAGTTAGCGTGTCAAGGAGCAAGTGTTCTGTGCCTGTGCTTGCTTGGCTCCTGGGTGGGTTTATTCTCTTTGAATCTGGTGCATCGAGTAGCCACTTAGGCTCAGTTCTAGTGGTTCTATTTGCACAACATAAGAGATGTCCAGATTCTAGGCCGATGCCGAAAAACTGGGCCATGTGTTTCTTTAGTACAATAGGAAAATACATTTTGTCAGTAGACTATTCACATCCAAACAAGGAAGAATAGAGGAAATTAACTTGATAAATTATAATTAAGAAAAATACATTTTCTTTAAAAAATATTGCTTCAATTTATTGTATATTCCATGAGAAATTTTTTGTTAATGCAGATGATCCAGAAAATTCCCAGCTTCCTACTTTTCATGCATAGATACATATGCCCCCCTCTTGCGCTAGTATTAGGCCCACATTTGGAAGAGATGAGAGAAGAATTCATAGCTGATAATATTCAGAAACTAGAGAAATAGTTTATAGCCAAGTTCATTTTTCCCTTGTGGATATTCATGGGTAAGATGGTTACATCAAGTTTGTGGAGTCAAATAGAATACTGGCATGTTTTAGTTCAAAAGAAGTAAATGAACATAATAACATTTCAGAATTATAAACTTTTACATTTGAAATGTATTGTCTTCAAGTTGATATTTTACAATTAACTACATTTTTGCAGTTTGGGGTATTAATTACATTATTTTGTCAAATATTACATGGCTGAATGCTGAAATTATATCATTAGACCATCCATTTATTTCACGTACTTGGGAAATGGACTAAGTTAAATCTTAAGTTTAAGATTTTGTCAACTATTTATCAGGTCTGGCTTGTTATTTTTTCCATTCTCCCTACATGAATATCTTGTACCAAACCCAGCACTGCTTTCTGATTGAAATCTTGGTCTCCCTTAGCACCAACACAGTGTTGCTTCCAAAACTCTAGGTAAGGTTCCAATCCTTACTTTCCCATTTGACTATATCTCCCCAATTGGAAGATCATGGAAAAATGCTGTAAACAGTAAATGAAAGGACTTGGAGGATTTCACTCTGTAAAGGGAACAATTGTTTTTCGGGAATTGTTCACTTGGATTCCCTTACTAGCATGGAATGTAACATATTCCAGCTGACGCTACCCAAGGCAAGGAAATATATCATGATTAACTTGACAAATGACTTCAAACCCAGCACGGCTGCCTGAGAATTTTCCCTTTGAGTGCATTACTTAGGACAAGTTTATATACCAAATAAAAGAGAAACTTGTTCCATTTAATTGCAAGTATTAGAGCTCTGAAGTTTCATAAGATTTTTCTCCTCTTTTCCCCTCCTCCCCCTTCCTCTTCTTTTTTAACCTGTCTCTACTTCCCCACCTTTTTTTTTAAACTTAATACTGGGCATTTCACCCATAAATGTTCTTTAAACCAAGGGGAAGTGGGGCCTGCCTCTAAGCTAGAGGCAAGTCTCCCCTACTGCTGATTTTCCTCTCTGTTCAAAGGAAGATGGACCACTTGCCTCATGAGCAAGAAAAGTAAGGTCAGGACATTCTGCGAAATGTCTGTGCACATATACACCCCCTCCCCCTCCCACACACACACATATAAATTGTGGTAAAATATATATTACATAACATTCACTATTTTCACTGTTTTTAATGTACAGTCCAGTAGCATTAAATACATTTGGCAGCCGTCAGCACTATTCTTTTCCAGATCTTTTCACCTACCCAAACTCAGAGTCTGTCCCCACTGAGTAATAACTCCCCGCTACCCTCTCCAGCCCCTGGTAACCACGATTCTGCTTTCTGTCTTTATGAATTTGACTAGTCTAAGTACTTTGTATAAATGAAATCATGTAATATTATCTCTTGTGTCTGGCATATTTCACTTAGCATAATGTTTCCAAGGTTCATCCATGTTGTGGCATGTACATGAACTACATTCTTCTCAAAGGCTGAATAATATTCCATTGTATATATATTGCACATTTTGCTAAGCCATTCATCCGTTGATGGACACTTGGGTTGTTTCCATCTTTTGGCTATTGTAACTACTGCTGCTCGAACTTTGGTCTACAAGTATCTGCTTGGATCCCTGCTTTCAATTCTTTTATACCTAAGAGTGGAATTGCTGGATTACATGCTAATTCTATGTTTAACTTTTTGAGAAACCACCAAATCATTTTTCATAGCAGCTGCACCATTTTATTTTCCTACGAGCGATGCATGAGATTTCCAATTTCTCCATATCCTCAACAACATTTAATATTTTTCTTTTTTCTTTTTTTTAAAATAAGAGTCATCCTAAGGGATGTGTATCCACTGACTTATTTTTAAGATTTTTAAAACGATACTTTGACAAAAGAAAAGTACTATTCTGGTAGTGCTTTTTACAACCACAATTTCTGGTTAATTTGGTGGTTATTTTGTTCATTGAGAGACTGTTCTGGGCATGCAAGTTTATGGTAACTCTCAGGATCAGGAAGGATCCTCAACCCCATCTCTCTACCTTAGGACTAATACTTGTGTCTTCCCCACTGCAGAGTATAGAATCTGTCAAGGCAAAGGGCAAGTTCAGCCTTGCCAAGAATTCAGACAGCCTGAAAAATGCTTATTAAATATTGTTTTATTTTCTTCAAATCACTTCTTATAAGCAGCAATTATTATATGGTCTTTTTAAAAGAAAAAAAAAAAAACCTGACATATTGCCTATGTCAGACACTAGGATATAAACTCCTGGAGAGCAGGGACCTTGTTCATAAAGGTCAGGGATGCCATATCCCAAGTGTCCTTCTTGTGCCCTGCTAGGTGCTCTAGACTCCTGGGCAACCCACGGCCCACCCTGGATTTAGACACATAGACAGACCTTACACAGATGAAATGTTTTCACTTAGGGAATAAGGATTCCTTCAGGGAGACAGGGAGAAGATTTGGGGGGTGCAGTGGAGTGGGGGAGTGGAGCAAGAGGGAAAATAGGGCACAAACACAGGATGGGCAGGACCTATGAATCAAACTCTTCCGGTGTAGCGCATGTATAACTTCACAGACTCTTTATCTCCTACCAAATTATGATTACTGTTTTAGGATGCCCAAAATACTACAAATGGCAAGGTCTCGTAGATAAAGCCTGAATTAAAGTGGACTAACAAAGGACTATCGAGGCACAGGTTTCCAGGAGATCTCAGTCCTGAGTGCAAGCCCTGCTAGCCCAGATCTGGAAGGACAGACACCTCGCTGGGAAGTGGGTGGGGACACTGTCTGCAGGCTGGCCCCAAGGATCCATTATTCTTTTAATGACTAAGGATGATTACCCAATGTTTTGACTCTCTGTGCAAAACAAAGACAAACTCAAGTCAAAAGCAGAAGATACATTTGTGTGTTTTTTCTCATAACAAGAAAGAAGCACAAGGAATTGGCTCCACTCCGAGTCTCCTGAAATGTGGGGAAACTCTTTTCTTTGCTGTGCCGTCAGAAGGTAAGAATTATCAATATCAGAACGAGGCACCGTTTATGTGACTCTGCCTTCGGAATTTGCCGCATGTTTCCACGCGTTCTCTTTTTCCTTCCCCTGTGGTTGCACAGGCCATGGCCTGGGCTTAGTGCCGAGCCCTCCCTGGCCGGCTCCCCCTTCCTCTGCACGAGGCTTCTTTAAGCAACAGGGGCAGTGGCAGAGCTCAGGCTCTCCTGGCCTTTGGCACATTCAGATGCTAGTTTGGGTGAGAAGGGCACAAATGCATTGGCTCCTAATTCTCCTTTATGCTTCCCTGGCCTCTGACATAGAGATGGAGAAAAGAGCCTCCCTGAGCCCCTTTCATGGCCCCTCTGACATTCAGGGTCAATTGTGGACTGTAAAGAACAAGACCAACCCCAAGCTGAGAGTCCCTGGAGGCAGGGACCCTGACACCAGCTGGGTCCCCCACCTCTGCCCTGATGAAACACTTCTCTTAAGTTATCTGTTAGGACACCAAACAAAAATCTTTCACTTCTCCTTGTAGCTGTACAACCTTTCCTACTCTTGCTACTTTATCTTACACCCTTACAGTATTTTCCCTGAGTCCTACCTAATTTTGTACATATTCTTAGCTGCTCAACACACGCCTATTATCTTGTCAGTGCTGGGAATACAGCGTTTCCACCTGCAACCTGTGTAACTTTCAGTAAGAGAAGTTTATAAATGAGTGGACATTCTATAACACAAAAGTTGGTTTTTTAATACAATAAAGTGACTCAAAGTGTTAATTATAGCAATATTTGTGTGTGTATGTGCACACATGTGCATGTTCTAGGTGACAGCAGACAATCAAATGAAATGCTGCTATTGGAATAGGGAATTCCCAGGAGGAAGCTCGGAGCGTGGGATGATTTTGTTTTTTTTTGAGACCCAGTCAGAACTTCAGATTTACTAAGACCAAATCAGCTCCCACAATGATCTACAACTGAACGTAAAATGATATTTTGGGATGTTTCTTCTTCACGACTGTGAATTTCATTACTCTACAGATTTTAATTCAGTATTTACTGTAAGTCAAGTTATAAGGGTTCACGAGGATACTCTATTTCAGATTCAAGTTCCCTGTACATAGACTCACAGAACCCTGGGGATGAAAATGACTTGAAGTCACTTCATTCTATGACCAGAGGCTGGACTCCTTCTGCAATGCTCTTGAATATGGTTGCATAGTCGGGGCTTCAGTGTCTCGAACAGCGGAGGACTGAGTTCCTCCCAAGCTGCCCAGTCCATTTTTGAAGAGATCTATTTTCAAAAGTGCTCCCTGCTCACCCCACCTTTCAGCTTAAATCTGTTTTCTTGATCTCCACCCTTTATCAATGGTTTCCGCCTCCCTTGCCCTTGGAGAACCTTCCTTTTGACAACTGTCAGAGTATTTGAGGACAGGTATTTGTTCCTCCCAAGCATCCTGTTTCTTGGTCTGTTCCCAGCATGGCATGGTTTGTGTCCCTATTCCAATCTGGTTGAATGTATCTCCTTTGAATGCATCATATTTTTTTGCTTTATATTCATTCAGAAGTGTGGTGTCTAAAATCAGTCTATTGGGTATGTAATTTTCCATCAATAATTTGGCACTTGGATGTTTGTTTGTTTTTTCCCCTTTGACAGATTGCTTTTCTCAACATGAGCCCTCAACATTCACTCCAGTTCTCCTTGACAGCTTACACTGGCCACTGGCTATGAAAACTTCCAGGCTCACTTTCAGGGAACAGTTTAATGATGAGTCTGAGTAAGGCCTAGGGGTATTGTTCTTTGGACAAGTGCAGTGGTTCCCAATCAGTGGTTTTATTCACACAGGTGGCCAGTGGTCAGGGGACTTCCCATTAAAAGACTGCAAACTGTGACTCTCCCTCAATGCTGGAAACATGACTTCTGCAAAACAATATCTGCCCTCTCATTAGGTGAGTATTATTTATTCCCTTCTGGAAGGCTTACTGCAGGTATATTTTCCATGACAAGTGTAATGTGTTTATGAGCATGTACATAATAAATTATTGGAAATAGTTGTGTTTTTAATACTCTCTTAATATAGAAAGTTTGACTCCTGTCGGCCAATATTTAGGAGTTCGCTTACACGGTGGTCTGCAAAAGACTTCCGTGATGATCTAGTAGTCTCACTATGGACCTAGGGTTGTGGGAGGCCCCTGAAGGGTGATGGGAGCCTGGGAACATGTAAGGTGGCACTTCATCCATTTGTGGAGAGGCAGGTGTGAGACTTGCTCATGTTTCTTACAATAAGGTCAAGAAGCCAAGACTATAAACCACAATAGGACGTTTAATCTATAATCTTAGGGTTAAAGACACGGATGTTTAGCACTTACTTTATCAAAGGGCTCCCTCTGTTCAAGCCATTTACTTGTTAATACCCTGGGTTATTTTTGGGGGGGAGGCATGAACTTTACACTAGTTTTCTCATATTGAAGGTTAAAACTGTAACTGGTAGCCCATGTACAACAGGTGTCACTTCTTTCAGTCTACTCCCACACCAAAGCCCTCCCTTATCCTGGCCAGGAAAGCTCCCCTGAGGTTTTTTACAACCGATTCCTTACAGCTCCAGAGAATGGCCTGATCCCAAAATACATGAGACAATCCAACACTACACACACTTGGATGACACCCTGTTGAATGAGTAAGTCTATGAAAGAGCCACTTAAGGTAATAGATTTATTAATGATGCTACAAATCAATCCTTACACAGACAAAGCTACCTAGAAAGTTTGCCTTGGTTCTCTACAGTAGAGAAAACTAAATTGAAAAAATATAGGTATGTTTTCCTGCCATGTGGAAAAAATTCAAGTATTCAATATTTCATGCCCAGATCATTGCAATAACCTCCTGGTAGTCTCTTTGCCTTGCCTCTAATCCCTGTCCTGTCCTTCCTCATTACTGTAGGAAAGTTTCTTAGGCATTCCAGGCCCTCTAGAGACCAGTCCCAACCCCCCTACAGCTTTTCTAAATAAGCGTTCCCTTCAACCAAATTTGTCTGTTGTAGGTTTGCAAATGCGTGCTCACATTCCTGTCTCCATGCCTGCCCGCATAAGTAGAAGCTCTTTCCTCTTTCTTGGTCTACGTTGTCTTTTCCCTTCAAAGTCCAGCTGCTTTCCCAGACTGCTCAACCTCCAGTGCTCACTTCTCATTTATAAGGGGAATGGTAATATTTAGTGTTTCTGGTACTGGTGCAGCACTTGGCATGCACTGCCACGTATCAGTTGGGAGACAACTCTCCATGGGTCTCTCATGTTTCTGCACATCTTGCAAGCAGAGATACTGACTGCATTTTCTAAATGTTTATATAGTGAATAACCCTGAAATACAGTTGACCCTTGAACAACACAAGGGTTAGTGGCGCTGATACCCCGCACAGTTGGAAATCTACCCATAACTTTTGACTTCCCAAACACTTAACTACTAAAAGCCTACTGTTGACTGGAAACCTTACCGATAACATAAACAGTCTATTAACACATATTTTATATGTTATATGTATTATATACTATATTCTTACAATAAAGTAAGCTAGAGAAAAAATGTTATTAAGAAAAGTCATAAGAAAGAGAAAACATATTTACAGTACTATCTGTATATATTGATGCCATAAGTTTGCTCCATCTGTTTATAAGATGAATCATCTGTCAGTACCTACATCAGTATTGTCTTATATGATACAAAACAGCGTAGATGTTATACATATTATTAACACGAGACATCAAAAAAGAAAAGGTAATAATGACTCGTGTTGATAATGAAGAAACAGCAATATGATTGCTTTCTGATAGCCTAATGTACTTGACACATATACTTCACAGCAGTAAGAAAATCTCCAAAAAATTTTCCAATATATTTATTGGAAAAAATCCATGCATACGTGGACCCCTGCACAGTTCCAACCTGTGTTGTTTAAGGGTCAACTGTTCCGAGACAGAATTAGAAGTGCTATTCAGGGAGCCGTCTGAACCGAGCTAATTTGTGGACCTGCTCACCCTAGCAGACGAGTAACAGTTTAGATTCCAGTTTCAAGACTTACCTCTTACACAGTCCTGGTCCAATCACTGAACTTCAGTTTTCTCATCCAGAAAATGGGAATAACAGAACATCCTTCATACTAACTGCTTGCCTACTCTCAACCCCGTTCCTCTTGGCTCTTCTAAAAAAGTAGGATGACTGGAAGACCAGAGACTGTGCTACAGGACTGGAGTCTTGGGGCATCTGTGCCTCACTTCTAGCATTTTTGGAGGACTAAGAAGAGCTTAAAGCTGATTTAGAGACATTTCTTGGAGAAATAACTTGAAAAATTGTGTCGTATTCGACAATCTTGTTGATCTCAAGTCAAATAGCAAAATTGTGAAGTAGGCAAAGCGTGTTTTTAGTTCCTTCCCCATCCTAATTTCAGGCCCCTTCTCTCTCCTGATCGGATGTCCTTTCTTGGACACCCAATATCCCCTTGCTCCTCATGGATGCTCTGGGTGAAGCTTTTCCCATCTGGAAAATCCCTGTGCCTGGGGCTGAGTCTGAGCTCTCATCCCTTTTATCTCTCTACTATCTCATCAAAACTTGCCCTGCATGAAGCTGCTCTCAGCTCAGACTTTTCTTGAAGACCTGATGATTCGCTCAGACGTTAAATAGCTAGTGATATTTCTGGGTTTCCCTATGCAAGACAATTTGTGCTTCCTCACAGGGGAGATTTTAAGGCTAAGGCACCATCAAAGAGCCCTTTTACTATCCTTCCCAACGCCCCTCCTGAAAGCACACATAAAAAGATTTTTTATTTGCCAAAGAGGCAAAGTAATGAGCAGGCAGGCAGTGCTTGTCAGCAGCGTGAGCTCACCAGTGCTGCAGTCTGACCTGATCTAATTGCTGCCCAAAGGAGAGGCCTGAGCAGCCGGCACAGGAAGATATTTACAACGGCTTGTGAACACCCATATTAGGCTTCAGCAATGACACTTTGGTAATTTCTAGCCTTAATTTTTTTTTTTTTTTTTTAGTATAGGCTGGTGTGCAAACATTTCTTAAAAGTTACAAACTATGTAAGTATCCACCTAGTCCACCTATAGGAAAGACATACCTTTACCAAATGCATTTCATCTGTTGTTTCCTGTCTTAGAACAGGAAACACCAAGGAAGAGGGAAAAATTCTTTCAGTCCCTAAGATCTTTCCAGTTGAAAACATTCAGTTTTCAAGTGGCAAAATAAAATCGTCAATAAACAAAGCTCCTGAGGAACAGAGCCCACCTCAGAGTGCTTTGCTCACAAGCTGCTGTATAGAAAAGGCCTGGCACTACCTGCCTGGCTAGCTTTGGCCTGGGCGACAGGAAGCAGATCGAGAAGGAGGTGTAATTGTCACAGGACCCCACAGGAAGGACAGTCAAGCAGTGGAGACACATGTGGGACGCTGGAGCCAAGATGCTGTGACCAGAGCAGCTGGGTCTGCGGCAGACAGAGACACGGACTTTCTGACAAGGCCAGCTATGTGCCGGGAAGCCAGCAGACAGACCAAAGAAAGGTTCTCTGTGTCCCACTCTGCAGGAAGGCCTTATCGCCTGTCACACTCGGGTATTTTCAGCCTCACTTGCGTACAGGGATAACCATAGTGTCAACAGTATCATCTTTGACTACAAAGGACAACAGTGACAAATCTCAGGCCCTCTGACTGGGAAGATAGCGTTGTTAGTGCTGTGAATGCCAGATTTTCTATCGTCAACAGAGCCTCTCGAGTTATTTATGCTGCAACGACTCGTATTAGATCAGCCCGCTCTTCCAGCCGCTTCCCTGCGGCGTGTCATAACGCCCGTGCGACTCTTGTCAGCAGGAACTTGTCCTACACGCCCAGAGCAACCCCGCGCTGGAGTCCCAAGCGCAGGCCCGAGACCCCTCGCTCTGCTAACCTCCCCCCTTTAGCCGTCCCTCTGAGTCCCCGGGAACTTATCAGGGGCGCGAAATGACATCTCATTCTTCATTATGGAAACTTTGAAAAGCTTCCAAAAGAATAAATCACTCTGTGACAGAGATTTTCAACCCGTGTGCCACAAGAATTTTTAAAACATGCCATACCTGACTATTTAGTCAGGGGCACTGACCTCTTTTCCCTTAGGTTCTCAAAAAAAAAAAAAGACAACAGCCAGCACAACAGTAGCCGTCCAGTGAGAATGTCAAAATTATACCTTTTTTTCCCTCATATCGGCAAAAATATATCTTTTGGTGTGCCACAGAATTTTAGTAATTACTTTATGTGTGCCGTGAGATGAAAAAGGTTGAAAATCGATGCTCTATGAGACTCTTTAAATACCAAGTCCAAACCAGGCCTGCAAGGATTTTTGAAGAACCTGCACAAGGAGGCTATTGTATGCGTATACAAATAAATGACACAATTCAATGGTTTAATACTATCTGCCAAGTTAAACTACTGCAGAGCAGCTGTGTACAACTGGAGATCCATAAATCAGCAACAGCATACTTTCATCCAATTAAGAGAGTTGAATAAGAAAAAAATCCACAAATTAAGATGTGTCCAGGACATGGATGACATCGTCATTCCTCTCTGAATGCAAAAATAAATAAAAATAAAAATAAGTCTTCATTTTGTGGATATAAAGGCTGGGGGTTCTTTTCTAGGGGCACAAGTTTTGCAGCGGGTCAAAGCCTGGCATAAAACTTTGTTCTTAGGAGGGTCATTTTAGGCTTGTTAGTTTGTCTTCTATAAATAGCAGGCTTGTTGGTTTGTCTTCTATAAATAGTAAGGCACAAGAGAAGAGCGGACTCAACCTGAAAGCAGTTGTTCTTTAAAAGGAGTTGATGGGTAAGCTAGGGTCCCAGGGTTTTCCTGGGAAAATTAAAACCATGTTATAAGTTTGGGGCCCTGTCTCTGTGCAGTTACATTTCCTTTGTCCTCCGTCTTGTTCATCTGCAGGACAAAGGTTTACAGCAGGAGGCCTGATGGCCAGGCCCAAAAATGTCTTCATCCAGCTTTTTAGGCCTTAGGCTTATGGGCTTGGCTACAGAAGCCAGGTCAAACTATAACAAAGAGGAGCTGCATTATTATAAAGTTGAGTCACTGCTGCAGAGAGTGACCAACCAGTTTGCCTGGGTCTGAGAGGGTCCCTGGGATGCATGAGCTTTAGTGTTAAAACCAGAAAAGTCCTGGGCAAACTGGGACAAGTTGGTGGCCCCAGCAGAAGACCAGGTTTTAGGCTGTTTAGGAAACACGAATTAACCTAAAGAAGCTGAACATCTTTAGCTTTTCTTTAGGCGAATGGTAAGTCAATATTAACAATCCAGGCCCCAACCAGCACTAGGTACAATGTCATAGATGCCTACTTAGTCTTTATTAATTTGCTTTGTGTTATGTACAGAGTGGTGATGAAAAGGAAAGTGAAATGAATTCCTTGCTTTCTTTTAATTCACCTTTAGAGAGAACAGCCAAGCAAAGCTCTGTTAGCTACTAGAGGATCTTGCGACCCACAAATAGACTTGCTTCTGTTTGTAGCTGGGGTGCTTTTGTGTGTTCCGCCTCTGCAAAGGGCCCCACGGCCCTCCTGAACAACTCGCAGGGTGAGCATCCACGATCACAAGGCCTGTTAGCTTAAGCTGGCGGAGGAGGGAGGGAGAGAGAATGCTCTATCTTTATAAAGACACAAGATTAATTTCTTCTCTGGCTGGTTCTCTCCGCAGCAGCTCCTCACTGAGCATCCCCAGACCGTCATCTGAATAAGTATATTCAAAGGAATATGAGGAAGAAATGCGCTCACTTGATTTTGGAATGTTTGGATTTCTGTTTCAAAACTTGATTTTCTTACAGTCAGACATATTACATTCTTTATATGGCTAATAAAAAGAAAATACAATGTTCTTTTGAAGGCTGCTACTGTTATAAGGCAAATGTATGACGTGTGGTTGGAATTGAAATTTTATTCTTCCTGATGATAAAAGCAAGACATTTTTAATAAACATAAATATTTTTATTTTTAATTTAAAAATATTTTTATTATAGAGAACTTAAGGAATCTATATAAATAAAATGAAAGTTGAATTAGCTAAGTTATTATTGTTATTTTGTAGTGTTTCAAGCTATTCCTTTTCTGTGCACATATATTTTTTATGTAATTGGAATCACTGTATATTCATTTTAGTTTTCTGCTTCTTACCCCTTCACGTTGTATTTCCAATATTTTTATGGGCCATTAAGTATTCTTCTAAATCAGTGTTTGTTTCTGCACCCTGTTAAGTCTTAAAAATTATTGAGTACACCAAGGAGGTTTTGTTCATGTCATTCCTGTTGATATTAACCAAATTAGAAATTAAAATGGAGAAACTTAAAATGTATATTTACTATTCATTATATATTAACAATATTCTTTATAAATTTTTTTATTTATATTTTTAAATATACTTGAAATATATATTTCAATATGTTTTCTTTTTTCTTTTTAATTTTTATTTTGCTCCAAAGGAAGGAGCATAGTGTACATGCAACTTTGTATATTTACTAAATATAAGATGGCTGAATATTTAATTTTTATTTTATTTTATTGATTTTAGAAAGAGAGGAAGGGAGAGAAAGAGAGAAACCTCCTTTGTTGTTCCACTTATTTATGCATTCATTGGCTGATTCTTTGTATGTGCGCTCACTGGGGATTGAACCCACAACGTTGGTGTATCTGGATGACACTCTAACCAACTGAGCTACTCAACCTGGGCTTAAATTGTTTTAAAAAAAAAAAAAAATAAGGGAGAAGAGGCATTGTTTTAACACTTTTGCAAGTTTTCTTAGTCTGAACTAACAGAAAAAAGCTATATTCTCCTATCTTCTTCTGCAAGTAATCTGTTATAATATGTTGTTTTGGTTGAAATATATGAAAAAAAAAAAAAAATCCATCCTCAAATAGATACTTAGTTGGAAAAAGGAGGAGTATTTTAATAGCCTTTTCAGATAATTGTAGCTATTCTTCTTTGACATTGCACCACAAATGGACAAGTGGTAATTTCTTTAAAGTTACTTACAGTGTGGTGTCTGAAACCATATCAATGCACTTTGTGGTCCTGTTTCACTAAAATCCATTGGTCCAGCTTGTGCTTTGAATGGATCTCTTACCCATGCATGATTTTATAACATTAAGTAATAACACCACTGACCTCATCAGAAATGTCACTAAGCATTGAGAAGCTATTAGTCTCACAGTGGCAGAAACAAATTTTCCAAAATTCAAATTTTCACCCGAAAGCTCAGATTTTATCATTGGCAACATTCCTTGAAGTGACTGACTTACGTGTTTCATTTTAGAGAAAAGACCTGCCGAAATTCAATCACCACAGTTTGTCGTTAGTTGGAGGCCATGGCCTTGTTTCATGCTAGGATACCAGCAGTTCTCCTCATCATTGCTTTAGCACCATCAGTGCAAACAGCAACCCAGTGAAAAAGGCAAATAATGTCGTTATTATTATGAAAATGGTTTTGACCTCATAGACCACCTGAAATCTAATGTCTATATTGGCCACAGAGAGAATAAATACTAGTATCCTCAGGGGCACTAGGGGAAACCATTACTGTTTTATTTCTGTATTATCAGAATTTTAAGAAATGATCCTGCATGACTTTTGGAATTAATAAAATAAAATAAAAATTTGGCCTAGAAGTGTCTCTGTTAAAAAGGTGGAGGGAGCTTGAATAATGTCTTAAGAATTTATCATGTGGGCCCAAATCTCCTTGAAACTCGCTTCAAAGTCTTATGAAATGTCCCTTAAAAATCCTAATGGATTCTGTGACTTGCATGAGTGGTTTCTATACTTTCTGCAATAAACACAACGTAGGAATGATGAAGATGTAAGATGAGAACTTCATATAATACATGTTTTCAAAGTATTTTATATTTTCGAAGTACATGAATTCTTTCCTAAAATTTCTCATAAGACACCGAGACAGAATGCTGGTCTGAGGGGACCACTGTTGGATTCTTCCTCCTCGTGTTTTGGGGTTCCCTCTTGAAAGGCAGGTGAGCAGCGTGTGAAGGTCTGGTCTAGCACTTTCCACTCATGGGCACTAGTATTCCAGTGTAAATACGAGTAAAGGAGATCCCCCACGTAAATACAGTAAAAGCACACTCTACAGGAGATCCCCCAAGGCTTCCTCATGTCTTCCTTAGCCTTGATCACATAATGCCAGGGTTGATGCTAAATACTACGGTGGCATTTTATCATTGCTGTTCAACTTTGTTGGTACAAGTCCTGTATCATTTTCCTCCTATTCTGCAGTACTTCTCTCTCTCTTTTATTATTTAGTTAATTAGTTTATTTATTTATTTATTGGGGTGCCATTGGTTCACAAAATCACACAGGGTTCAAGTGTACAACTCAACACAACATCATCTGCACACAGCCTCTTGTGCTCATCACCCCAAGCAAAGTTTCTTTCTGTGTCCATTTATCCCCCCTTTGCCCATCTCCACCTACCCCCACCCCCTCTTCCCTCTATCACCACACTGTTGTTTGTGTCTGTGTGTTTTTATTCAATCCCTGCACGCTCTTGTTCTCACCTGTTAGAACGCCTTAGAAGGGTCTGCAGCATGCATGTGGAGAGGTAAAGCTAGAAGCCTCACTCCAGTGAAGAGGGTTTACGTGGGAAGGAGTCACAAAATCCTCACGCTGACCTAGAAAGAAATCTGTGACTACTTCTCATTTTCCTCAAAACCAGCGCTTTTAGGTACTTTCCTAACCTGAGACTTCCAATGTGCACTATTATACACTGAGCAATGTGCTAAAAGATCGATATTAAAAGCATATAAGAACATGAAGAAATACCCTTTAAATTCCTAGCCCATCTGTCCCACAGGACTCCTCAGTTTGAAGTTGAGGTGATGACTTCCAATTTGTCATGAGTTTCATGAAGTGAAAACTAGATGGGAAGCAGTCATAGCAGTTTGAAAAAGAGTTGTCACGATGTATGTGCCCCAGCAGTGACTCGCAACCCTTAGCAGGAAGCCCGGGGAGACGCAACTGAGAAATGGTTCCCTCTAGGAAGTTGCACAAAACAGGGTGAGAGTCACAGTGGAAATAAGGCAAAGCGGCAGGGATCCCAGCAGGGTCAAGTAGTGAATTTCAAAGCTGACAGGACTCTAAGGCCTGAGGAATTCAGTACAGTTTTTTTTGTTGTTGTTTTAAAATATATCTTGATTGATTTCAGAGAGAGGAAGGAAGAGGGAGAGAGAGAGAGATACATCAATGAAGAGAGTTGTCATTGACTGGCTTCTCCTGCACGTCCCCGACTGGGGATCGAGCCCACAACCCAGACGTGCCCTGACCTGGAATCGAACCGAGAGGCTCACCCACTGAGCCACGCCCAGCCAGGTTTCAGTATGTTTTACAGATTCAGGCAGGCAAGAGCCCAGATTCCAACTCTCAGGAGTTTAAAATTGGAAATAATTCCTCAGCCCCATAATGTTTCAAAACTTCTTATTCAACTCAGCAAGTATTTTTTGAATAATTATTGTGTGCCAAAAATTGCATATATTACTTAGGTTTTCTTTTCTTTTTTAAAAAAAATATGTTTTTATTGATTTCAGAGAGAATAAGGGAGAGGGAAAGAGAGATAGAAACATCAATGATGAGAGAGAGTCATTGATCTGCTGCCTCTTGCACGCCCCCTACTGGGGATGGAGCCCACAACCTGGGCATGTGCCCTGACTGGGAATCTAACCATGACCTCCTGGTTCATAGGTCAATGCTCAACCACTGAGCCATACCAGCTGGGCTACTTAGGTTTTCTTTCTCTTACTAGACAATTGACTTTCTGAGGACAGGACATATGTTGTATTTATCTTTTTAATCTTCTCCACACCTGGCACAGTGGTTTGCACACAGTTAATATACAAAAAAAGTTTATGAAATGATAACTGAATGTGTGACTAAATGAATGAAGTTAGTTCTGTTTCTGATGTAGTCATCTTTTATACTTCCTTAAGAATGAGAATAGTCTTACACCCAAAATCAGCAGTGTGAGGCTTACAAGTGTTCCCTCTTCACAGTTAGAATGAAGCCAAAGGGGCTGCGATTACAGAGAGATTCTTGCACCAGGAAGTGTTAATGTGATAAATATTTAGCACATAGCCTCCAAACATTTCACAGCTGAGAATAAAGTAGGATTGCCTGGATTAGAGCAGTGAAGGAGGCATGCTAAGGGGAAAGGCAAAGTAAATGTTTAACACTGAACCTCATCTTAATTAAAATAGTAACACAATAAAAGATTCTCCTTGAGAAAGTATTTTTTAATTGGCTTTATATGGTGTCACACATGTTTAGGTGATAAACCATCTTATTGCTGTTTCAGCTTCCATTCACCCCCCCAAGAAGCAGCTCAGCTATCATCTCCTTTTGGAAACATTCTTCGATCATCTTCTTGACTTGTCCTCATCGGGGTTAGAAACCTATGCTGGGATGAACAGTGTTCCCTCAACCTTCTTGTCCACCTGGAACCTGTGAAGGTGACCTTATTTGGAAATAAGGTCTTTCAGACACAACCAAGTTAAGATGAGATCATACTGGATTAGGGTGGGTCTTCACTCCAATATGATTGGTGACCTTACAAGGAGAAAAAGTTTGGACCTGGACCAAGGGAGAAGGCCATGGGAAGATGGAGGTAGAGTTTGGGGTGATGCACCTATAAGCCAAAGGATGCCAAGTATTGTCAGAAAACACAGGAAGCTAGAGAAAGCAACAAAGGATTCTACCCTAGAAACTTCAGAGGGAATATGGCCCTGCCCGCACCTTGATTTTGGACTTCTGATACCCAGAACTGCAAGAGAATATATTTCGGTTGTTTTAAGCTACACGGTTTGTGGTAATTTGTTACAGCAGCC